GCGCGGCGGCGGCAGGGCGCCCCGCAGCTGCTTGTCGCGCAGGATGGCGCGCTCCTCCAGCTCGTGCAGCAGGCGGTTCTCCTCGCGCACGCGCCCGCGGCCCTTGCCCAGGTTGCCCAGCTTGTGGGTCCGCAGGTGGATCTTGAGGTTGCCCTTCTGCGCCGCGCGGTGGTCGCAGTAGGGGCACTTGAAGGGCTTCTCGCCCGTGTGCGTGCGCATGTGCAGGGACAGGATGCTGTTGAAGCGGAAGCGCTTCCCGCACAGCGGGCACGGGTACTTGCGGTTCTTGCGCGTGTCGTCCTCGATGTCGCTCATCTGCGACATGATGCCCAGGTTCTGCCCGTTGAGGAACTGCTGCAGGTCCACGCGCCCGTTGAGGCTGGTGTCCACGTCCCGGCCCAGCTGGCTGGCCAGCAGCGCCATCTGACTGCCCATGGGCTGGCCGCTGCCGGGCACGTGCGCCTTGTCGTCCAGGGGCGCCGGGGGCTTGTCGTCGGCGCCGGGCCGCGCGTGCAGCTCGGGGAAGGCATGGCCGAGCTGGGAGGTGATCTGGTGCAGCTTCTGGCTCATGGCATACTGGCCGTTGAGGACGGGGCCGCTCAGGTGGGGCTCGGCTTCCGCCGCTGCGGAGGACACTCCAAGGCACAGGCTGGCTTCTTCCATCCCTGAAAATGCAGAGAGAGTTCAGGTGTGGGCCCCGAACCCGGCGCCCCGAAGCGGCAGCTTCAGCGGGCCGGCATTTGCATTTCCTGCCTTACCTACACATAATAATGCTCAGGAATTATAGTCGAAAACAATAATAAAAAAATGAATTATTAAATGCCAATTATGCAATATGGCTTTGGCCCTCCAATTTGTTTTGGCGATAGATCGTCTTCCCTGCATTTTCTATTTACCGACTGCAATTACTCATCCACACTTAAATCATTAATGTCTTACCACTTTCAACACCTAATAACAGATCGGGGTCTGCATGGGAAAGCCCCATCCCCTCCCCCGCCACCTTGTGGCACCCGCACCTGTGGGCTGGGTTCAAAGTTGGCCTGGAGAGAATGGCTTTAACGCCCAGGCCCAACACATTCACTCGGAACTTCGGTTCCATCCCCTTCCCCTGGTCAATGCATTCCCCACTCTGAGATGAAAGGGGCTATTTTAAGTTTTTTGGGGAGGAGTCCTGATATTTACTGATACATAATAAAACAAGATAATGTTTTGAGGGGAAATAAAGTAAAGGACAGGCTTTAGAACAATAAAAGGGATTTTGCTTTAGTCAACAAAAAGTGCAGTAATATCTCATTAAGCTGATTAGTATGCTGCTTAGAAACAGTGCTAGGTGCTGTAACACATGATTATAATCATAAAAATCCTTCAGTGTTTGCAAGGAAGCATTAACGAGGTATATTAAATTTTAAGGAGACTGCGAGTAGCAGCTTTGCAAACCTCAGAGATTAAGATTTAACCCTTATGTTACGAAACACTGTTATTTTGTCATTTCGTAACTGTGCCCATCAGAGGAAGTATAAATTATCTCCTGATGGAACCACAGTGGACCGTCGGGACCGTCGAGATGGTTCAAATCTGGATGGGGGGGACTTCCACCAGAGATGGGCTCTCCCCTGTCTGTCAGTGGGCACGATATCCAAGCCTGGGACTTTTGTTGGGCTTAAGGAGATCTTTCCAACAACTAGATAAAGACCAACTGAAGTCCAGGGATGATGCCACAGGAACTCACACCAAGTCTGAGCATTTTTAATAACTTTCCCAGTACACGGTAATGAGTACAAATTGTACCTGCAGAATGTGTTTTGCAGAAAATTAGAACGCAAAACTGTTTGTAAAACACTAACACTCAGAGCAGGTCTGCATAATTGTCTGTAATAGTCCCCACTGCCCCCTCCAGTCTGTGCAGAGCAGCTAAGCCAGGCCATGCGGGCGGGTGCAGGGAACCGGTCCTCCACATCAGAGCATGTGGGCAATTCAGCTCTAAAAGGCCAAGAACCCACATCTGGAGTCCTTCTATTTCCACAGCCATCTCCCCCCCCCAAGGAGCCCAGATGTGCTTCTTGCCATTGGAAGGATGCTGCCCATCCATGCTCTGGGTACCCAATGTTTAGACGTCTTAGCCAGCCAGGTGGGCCAGGAGCAGCACTTAACCCCAGCCAGGACTGATTCCTGGGCCAAGCAATTCCCCAGAGGACCTTGGGGACAAAGCTCAGGTGTGGAGGAAGCATGTTCGGCACTGGCAGGGTCTGCTGCCCATGGTGCTTCCCGCTGGGCAGGCATGGAGGTTCTCCAATGGGAGCTGACCTCCCTAGAGAGAAGATGGGGCTAGGCGGCCATCATGTATGGGAGGGGAGGAGACAGGGTGATTATTTCCAGGATGGAGAGAAAGTGTGACCGTGCTGCAGGCCCAATGTGTCCATGACTGATGACGGCAGGACAACTGCCCACACGCACTGACGCAGACACACAGACACTTTCAGTAAAAGAAGCCTTCCAATTTGCCATCTTTCCTTTTTGTTTCCAGTGGCAGTCAAATTTTAAAAAAGGGGGGGGTCACATTTTGGAGATTGGTCAGAAAGGAGTAATTTCTCACAAAGATTCTTACATTCACTCAACAAACTTGCTGAGATCCCACTGTGTGCCAGACCCTGTTGCTGGCACTTAGAGACATGACTGGCTGGCTCCAGCACTCCTGGTGCCCACCAACCAGCAGGGAGGGACAGGCCCAGGGTGCGGAGCTACAGGGGCAGAGGTCTCCAGGCAGGGACTCCAGCAGCCCCTAGGGCCATGCTGGCTCATCTTCTGAGCAAATATGGATCATGACCCTGAAGCCATGTGGGAGCACTCAGAATTCTGCCCAACAGCTCGAGGAAGTTCAGAAGGTCTGAAGCCAACACAGCTGGCCCACTGCCAAAGGCTGCCCAGTGGCCGGCTCAGAAGACACGAATCCAGGAAGACGGGCTACTTTCAGGTTGCAGCCCATTCCACAGGAGGGCAAGGAGGCAATAGGGCGAGACTGCAGATCAGGTGGGACCCGGGGAAGACCACCCGCCACCTCCCTCATGCACTCAGAGAAAGGGACACTCAGCTTGTCAAATAATGAAAGCGCGAACTTTTCAAGTGAGGTCTGGGTATGCAATTGTTTTACTGTTAAAATTTTTTTCAATCAACAAAACTTTCTATAAACCCCTTAAGCAACTGGTCATGCAGTGCCATTGCTGAACACGGGATGCTCTGGAAAGTGTGAAGCCCAGTCAGCCTCTTTCTTCTCACGCAGGCCTCAGCTCCCACAGCCCCTCACAAGGCCCGCGCGCCCCCTTGTCTGAGGCTGACGCCCGTGCCCCAGCCTCTCTCTATTCCACCCCCTCCCCCTATTCTTCACAGTCCTTAGTGCCAGGGACAGGTCTGCTGTTGGCCCTTTGCAGACCTGCTTCTCCGTGAGGGCAGGATTGCGTCTGCCTCAGTACGGAGGAAGCCTCAGGCCTAGAGCAGAGCTGGCTCAGCATAGGCTCGATATTTGCCAACTGAATGGGGGGGGCATGAATGAACAGACCTCATAAACACAGCCCATAAAATAGGGCAAGCCCCAGCCTCAGGGCCCCAACTCAGGTCCCACGGGTCCATGAATACCCACAGTCAGAATGCATCCGTCAGAAGTGCCACCGGCTGCCACCTGGGGGCCCAGGAACAGCCAAGGGAGATCCCCGCCACCACCAGCTCTTTCAGTCTGTGTGCCCACGGGCACCAGCAAACAGAGACCAGCCTTCGTGGGATCCATGGAGGACTCGGATTTCAGCAGCTCACAGGAGAAGCCCCAGGCTTACGGCCCTCAAGTGAGCAGAGCCCCTGTGGGGCAGGGCCACACCAGACGGTTAGCTCAGGATACTCTGTGGGACCCGCCACCCCTGGTGCCAGGAGAAGGTGCACCTGATGGGTCAGTCCTCACCAATGCCAGCTGCCAGACTCAGAGCAAGAAAGGGTAGCGAGAGCTCTTGGAAAGGCGGAGGTAACTAGTGTGCTGTCCCTGGGCCAATGCAGCTGAGGCAGGACGAACTGGCCCCCAGCCCGGCCTGGGACTCACAGACCTGGGTCAGCCCCAATTTCTCCAGCCTCGACACTTCACCTGTCCAGAATTCATTTACCCGTCTCAGTTATTCAGCAATTCTTGCCAGGGGCCTTCGATGGGCAGGGCCACCAATAACAGGAAAGCAACAAAAAGATTCCTGAGAGGCAGAATCCAAAGTTCAGGGAAAGGAGAAACCATTGCAGCTGTGGACATAGGTGTGTGTATGTGTGTCTGCGTGTGCACCCACGTGCCCGTGGACTAGGTCTGTGCGGGGCCAGGACATGGAGTCCCCAATGGAAACTTACACAAATGCTTCACTGTGAACCTAAGTGATCATCTGTCCCGTTGTTAAGGGATCAAACCTCACTGCAGCCCTGACAACTCCCAGGGATGGGGCCGGGGGACTGCCTTCAGGAGTCCTCACTGGCCAGGAGGTGTCCTAAATCCCTTCCTCCAGCCCCCAGGCAGCAGGCACAGGGACAAGTCCTCCCTTCAGAGGCCCAGCAGTGGAGGTCTGTCAGTGATTCCAGCAGGGCCCCCCCCCCCACAGGCCATGCCCTGTGCCCTGACGACCAGGGCAGACCTGCACATGACCTGCAGCACTGCCCCGCTTGGTCCCCGGTACCTGGGCACTTTATGGTATGTGCACGGCCCCAGCCTGGCTCTGCACCCACCACTCCATGACATGGCTGCTGAGACACCCACATTAAGAGGCCGGGAGCCAGCACAGGGTGGGCCATGACCCTGGCCCTCAGGAAATCCACAGCCATCTGGAACCTTCTGAGTAACCCGTGAAATAAGTCACCTGACCCTCTTGCCCAGGTAGGAAAACTTTCACACAATTAAAAGCAAGTAATCAAACTCCTAACCACTGAGAACAGCCCGCCTGGCCTTTAGCTCATGGCCTCGGCCCACAGCTTGCAGGAGAAGTCAGTAAACTCCGCTGACTGATTTACCTGACCCAAGAGGCAGCCGAAGCCGGACAGCGTGGGGCCCTTGTAAACTGTCAAAGTGGGAAAACACGCTGACATTGCCCCCAACGTCTGACTCTTCCTGAACCCCAGGGTATGGTGGGCGCTACAGGCACCCACTGCTACTGCCAAAACTGACCAAGAACCAGGCTGGGGCCTGAGTCCCAGTCGCCAGGGCACCCTTACGGCAGGGAGATGCTGGGGCCCCACGGACAGCTTCTGGGGCTAGAGGTTTTCCCTCCCGCTCAGGTTATCGACGTGCACTCTGCCTCGTCTCGTCACTGCAGGTACGAGTCATGCAGCTGCCTTTGGTGGTGCTGGTGCTTATGTTGATCAGCATTTCCACCTGCAAGACGATTTCCTGCAATACCAACGGTAAAAGTTTTCACTTAACTCTTCCAATAGAGAACCCAATTGTATCTCTCACTCAAAATGAAATTTAATCTATCAGGACACCAGAAATGCCAGCTGCTATGAGTCTAAATAAATTTTACACAAAAACACAGTTTCATTTTGCTAGCACAGAAAAAAAAGTAATCTTATGAATAGTCCAAAAAATATAGATCTTGCCAGTAAGAGTTTTATCCTCATACCATGAAAAAGAATAGTTGGGAAATAAAATG